TTCAAAATCTGTGATGCAAACTACACAGAGGCGTGGGACTTGCTAAAGTCTCGCTATAAAGTAATGCGAGTTATTGTTGAGGCACACCTCAGGGCGATAGCTGACATTCGCAAGGCTTCAGGTGATACTGCTGATGCTATAAAGGGTGTTCTCGATGCAACTCAGCACCACATACGAGAGCTTAAAGCATTAGGGCATCCCGTAGACTTCTGGGACGATTGATTGGTACATAATACAGTAAATAAACTCGCGTTCGAAACCCGCAACGAACAACTGACAACGTTTCTGGAGATTAGGTGCCGCTCATTGGCAATGATTACCGCGCCTGTTCCGCAGGCAGCCGACGACTCATAAATATGCGGCGAAATCAACCAAAGTATTTCACGCAATTCCAGAGCAAAACCCCGCGCGCTGCATGTACTGCAATGCAGCTCATAAGATCTACTCTTGCGACAAATTTCGTAGTTTAGATTTTACTGCAAAATCTAAATTTATTAAAGAATTCAAAGCTTGCTTGAATTGTTTAAGTCCAGGGCATTACAAAGAACGCTGTAATAGCTCATCCGCTTGCCGAATATGTCATCAACGACACGATACGCTGCTTCACAGTAATACACGTTCACCCGCCGCCACATCGGCTCATGTCGTCGATGCCATCGCAGCCGCTTCGAATCCCGCATCTGTAAGCAACCATGCAACTGGTTCATCTGCCACCGCTTTAGCAGTGAATAGCGCTGCTTCACACGTTTCGTCCTGCTTGAGTGCTGGTTCCATTCCGCTACCTGCAACGCAAAAATCAGTTATATTATCTACCGCATTAGTAAAGATTCGAGACTGCGCTGGTCATTGGCAGACCGCACGTTTATTGTTCGACACCGGGTCGCACGCCTCTTATGTAACGGGATTTTGGGATTAACACGTTCATCGTCTTCTGTATTTGTCAGAGGAATTTGTTCATCGCAAAGCGACCGCCTTGCGAAACGCTGCTCACGCTTTCGTCTAATTGTTCGGATAAATGCTACGATATTACCGCGCTGATTCTTCCGAAAATCACCAACGATTTGCCGACGCAGACCTTGAGTGTTTCTAGTTGGCCACATATCCAAGGCTTATTCCTAGCTGATCCACATTTCGCGAAGCCTGGCCGCATAGACGTACTCGTAGGCATGGATTTAATGGATCAACTAATCTGTGCGGAGCTTCGAAAGGGTCCGTCTGGCACGCCTATGGCGCAGACAACAGTTTTCGGCTGGACTTAATTGTGAAACGTTGACAATTTTGGTTCGCCAACGCCTAGTTTGCAATCGCTGCATTGCGATGTGCAATTAGATCGAGCGCTCGCTAGGTTATGGGAGCTCGAAGACTCGCCGCAGAAACAGCATCTCACGCATGAGGAAAACTTCTGCGAGAATCACTTCAATTCTACACATCAAAGAATGCCGGATGGTCGCTTTGTGGTTGAACTACCGCTTAAACCTAACACTGTATTGGGTGAGTCACGAAACTTCGCAATACGTAACCTGCTATGCATAGAACGAAGGCTCGCTAGCAACAGCGATTTGCGTTTGCGCTACGATGAGTTCATGAGAGAGCTCATTGACATGGGTCACATGGAGGAGGTGTTTGAAACGACAAGTGAGGTGGATTATATGCCACACCACCCAGTCATTAAAGAATCTAGCGTTACGACCAAGCTGAGGGTAGTCTTCAACGCGTCCGCCAAAACCACCACGGGTAACTCGCTTAATGACGCATTGTTTGTTGGACCTCAGCTACAGCAAGATTTATATTCTATATTGCTGCGCTTCAGAACGCATCGCTACGCGGTAACCGCGGATGTAGCTAAAATGTATCGGCAGGTCTGCGTTTCGTCGAAACACGTCGATCTGCAACGAATCGTTTGGCGTCCAGATCCATCTTCACCCATTAGAGATTACCGCATGTTACGCGTAACGTACGGGGTGGCCGCCGCGTCTCACTTAGCTGTAAAAGCGTTGCAACAATCTGCTAAGTGCACAACTAATGGGTGTAAGAAAGCGGTTGACGCGATCCTCAATGATTTTTACATGGATGACCTGCTAACTGGAGCCTCTTGCAAGTCACAACTCCGGTTGCTTCAACAAAACGTATCCGAAATTCTTCAAGAAGGCGGCCTCGAACTAAGGAAGTGGGCATCTAACTGCGCTGAGCTGAAAGAAATCATCTCCAAGTCATCTCAAACTATATCCCATTACATAGTCGACGGTAAGGACGTTCATGCGTTAGGCCTCATTTGGAACATAGAGGGCGACTACTTTACATTCGCAGTCGACCTAAAGGAGCCACCCGCTGTTTTGACTAAGAGAGCCTTATTGTCAGATGCCAGTATTCTCTTTGATCCGCTGGGCTTACTTGCTCCTGTGACAATATGCTCGAAAATGTGGTTCCAAGACATTTGGCGCGCTGAGGTTGGATGGGATGACTTGATACCAGACACAATAGCAAATCTATGGGTTGATCATCGCGTGCAGCTGCAGAAACTAGTAAACTTGAAGGTGAGTCGCTGGCTCACATTGCACATTTTCGCTGATGCTTCCGAGCGCGCTTACGCTGCAGTGATGTACGCACGCAGCGTTCATAGTGACGGTCAGGTCACCGTTTCAATAATTTCGGCCAAAACCAAAGTGGCACCGATTAAAACTACATCTTTGCCACGCTTGGAACTGTGCGCTGCTCACCTCGCTGCTAAGTTAGTTAGAAGTGTGTTGCATAGTTGGGGTGATCTACGATACCCGTTATTTGCTTGGACGGACTCAACTATTACGTTGGCGTGGTTGCAAGCACACCCTAGCAGATGGGAAACGTTTGTCGCAAACCGGGTCGCTAATATCCACGAGATTCTTCCTCCGGAGTGCTGGAATCACGTACGCTCTGAAGGAAATCCAGCAGATTGCGCCTCTAGAGGTATGACTCCGCTAAAACTTCTGCACCATGAGCAATGGTGGAACGGTCCAGAATTTCTGAGTACTTCAAACCAGTTTGGAATCAAGGCTTATCAAAAACGCACGTAACGGAGTTGGGTCTACGGAAGAAGGTTCATTCTCATGTCACAAACTCGGATCTTCATTGGTCGATAATGACTAAATACTCGTCGTACTCCAAATTACGGCGAATCATCGCTTACGTTTTACGTTTTATGCTCAATACCCGCTCTAGTATTCAACGCACTGGCGAAAAACGATGTGGTCCTCCTAGCTGTGTTGAGATAGCTGAAGCTGAGCGCCGTTTAATAAGGTATACCCAACATTTTTTCTTTACTAGCGAAATTTTTCATTGCAGCGCAAAAAGGCCGATCCCGCTCCGCAGTAGCCTGTTGCGCTTGCAACCGTTTCTCGACTCAAATGGTATTCTTCGAGTTGGGGGTAGACTGAAGTCCGCGGATGTCGCATATGATGCAAAGCATCCCGTCATCTTACCCAAGAATTCTCCGCTGTCGAAGCTAATCATATTCGACATTCATCGGTTCACTCTGCATGCAGGACCACGTTTAATTCAAGTGGTTTTGCTACGCCGCTACTGGGTTATTGGCGCCCGCAACTTGATCCGCAGTGCTTATCGCAAGTGCGTAAAATGTACTTATTTAAATCGGAATCTCGCTACGCAATCAATGGGTGATCTTCCTGTATCTCGAGTTACCTACGTCCCCTGTTTCATTCACACCGCCGTAGATTTTGCCGGCCCATACATGTTTAAGTACACGCACGGAAGAGGGGCGAAGTCCATCAAAGGCTATATTTTCTCCTTCATTTGTATGTGCACTGGCGCAATGCACCTAGAGTTTGTCGGAGATTTATCGACTTCCGCTTTTCTTAACGCGTTCAAAAGGTTTATTAACCGAAGAGGGTATTGCAAGACGATGTTTTCAGATAATGGCACAAACTTCGTCGGCGCTGAGAAGGAACTTCGCAACAGATATGAGCAATGCATGGCAGACGGCAGACTACAATCTTTCTTTTCTGAGTCGAACATAGAGTGGCGTTTTAATCCGCCGACCGCGCCGCATATGGGTGGATACTGGGAGGCCGGTATCAAGCGCATTAAATACCACCTAAAACGCGTTTTGGGCGAAACTCTACTTTCATACGAAGAGTTTAGTACATTATTGACAGAAGTCGAAGCATGCGTGAACTCGCGCCCGTTATGCGAAGGCACAACAAGCGCAGCCGACCTCGAAGCGTTAACCCCGGGGCACTTTATCGTTGGGGAGCCGCTTAAGTCAATCCCAGAACCTGAGGGCCAAGGGTTCTGCGGAAATCTTTATCAACGTTGGCAGTTAATTTCCGCAATAACGCGGCATTTTTGGCGTCGTTGGAGAGATGAATATCTTGTCAGCCTGCAACGCCGCACAAAGTGGTTTCGGCCAACACGCAACTTCGAAGAAGGAGATATAGTAGCTGTGTTCAACGAGCCTACTCCCCCTACAAAGTGGTTACTAGCGAGGGTAATTCGATGTCATCCTGGAGCTGATGGTCGCGTACGAGTCGTGACAGTGAAAACGTCTAATGGAGAGTTTGTTCCCCCAATAGCAAAGTTGTGCCTACTACCCACCAAAGGAGACCTATTTTGCGATGATGCTGACTCATAGCCCAATAAGATAATCGTATTCTAAGTCTTTTCCCTATATTTAAAGTTTTTTTCTTTCAAAAATGTATTGTAACCATCTATTTGTAAAATTAAGTTGAACCTATCATATGAACATAGATAGTTCAAGGGCGGCGGTATGTTGGGTTCGAATATACTAACTTTAAAGATTTAATGGTTGCATGTA